GACACAGGCAGACACACACACACACACACCAATCCCAACTGGACCAGGAACCTCCACAGAAGACTCAAAAACTATGAAACTGCTAAGGAAAAACATAGTGTAGAGGCACAGGTAAGTGCTTTCTGAATAGGACTCATCCCACTCTGAAAACAACACCAATAATGGACAAGTAGTACCTTGCTAAATTAAAAGGCTTTTATGAACCAATGAAACTCCATCATGTGAAGATGTAGGCTACAGAACAGGTGAAATCTTTTGCCAGGTACATGTTCCCAGGTAATGTGAATCTACAGTCTACAAATAATTAAAAAAAAAATAGCACCAAGAAAAGAAACAACTGGAGCAAAACCTGTGTCATGTAACCCAAGGGTGCTACCAAAAAGAGAAAAACAAATGCCTCATCCCCAGTTTTTGAACACTTCAACATTATTATCCATCAGGGAAATAAGAATGCAAAAACTTCTTTTAGAGCTCATCTTACTCAGGAAGAATGGCAACTGTCACACACACACACACACACACACACAAAACCACAGACAAAATATGCATGAGGCCTTGGGAAAAGGAAAGAAAATCTTAAGGGATGAGAAAAAAGTATATTCAGGTAATAAGCAATTGAAAGAGAATATATGGCTAACTGTTGTTTTAATTCTAAGTCTGTCACAGAGTTGTGGTTTTGATGGTGGATAATTGAGTGACTTGAGGTGATATTGAAAGTGTAAAACTTAATGTGAAGCTTCACAGCTTCTTTTTGAATATGAATCCTAACTATATATAAATTCAGTAAGTTGTATGGAATTTGAGTATCATTGGTTTCAGTATATTTTATTTATTTATTTGAAGTTTCTTTTTAATAAAAATTTTAAATCTTTCAACATATGTTTTAAATATTTAAGAAAGAAAATGTGGGGAAAGTGAAATATTGGTGGGATTGCATACTTACACAGTCACTATTGAAATCACTGTGGACTTTACTCAAAAATCTGAAAACTGATTTCCATGTGACCCAGCTATCCAATATTAAGTATATACAAAAATTACTTTGGTGTATCCTATTACATATCTATGTATATATTAGCATGTACTTAGGTGTATACTACTACATACTTAGATGTATAATATGATATACTTAGATGTACACTACTATATACTTAAGTGCACAGTATGATGTACATAGGTGTAAAATACTACATACTTAAATGTATGCTACTATGTAATTAGGTGTATACTCCTATATACTTAAGAATATACTACTACTAACAGTTAGTTGAACGTCTGTGATCATTACAACTCTACTCACAATAGCTAGGAAACAGGTTCAGCCTGTGTTTTTTTCAACTGAAAAATAGATAATGAAATTATGATATGTATACACAATGAAATTTCATTGAGCTGTAAAAATAAAATTATGAGCTTCTTAAGAAACTAGATGGAACAGAAAAATATACTTAATGAGGTAACCCAGGCCCAGATAGACAAACAGTATATGTTCTCAGCCATATGAGTATCCTAGGTAAAATCTTGGTATGTTTACCTTGAAGTGCACATAAAGGACAGAAAGCTAGAAAGAGGCCATAGAAGGAGAACAAGAAAAGGACACCTTAAGGAAGTGACATTTCAGGAATACTTATAATATGGAAGTGGAGGGAATGAACATGAGAATGAGGGGGTTTATACAAAGATGGGGTGATAAGATGAAGGATATAATTAATCAAAACAAGAATACATGAAAATGCCTTATGGAAACTCACTTGTTTGAAAGCCTTTTAATATATTAGTCAAGGCACTTGCATAGGTAGAAAATACTACTTGTGGAAGTCATAGGTTATTAAATGAAAACTTCATTGCCAGTGTTGGGAAAACCCCCTAGAAAATGCTTGAGGATCCAAATAATATAGGCAATTGTCACTGTTGTCAGTTGCCCACAAAAAGTAGTTAGTAACTCCCTATTGCTAAAATCATCCTTATATGCTTGTCATGGGACATAAAGAAAGCAAGCTGGGAGTGGTCTGGACTATACCTTTCTGCTGAATAGCCCTCACAGTATTAGGCTGGCTGTTATTAGGAGATTGTCATCCACACTTACTCAGCTGTGGACACTGTGATCTATATTTCAACCAGCTTTACAAAATATGCTCACTGGTCAATAATGGCTATCATATCATGGGGTAAATACACATTTTTTGATTGATATTGAAAAGAGTTCAGAGCTAGTCTAGTCAACATGGTGAAATGCCTATGTAGAGAATGGAATACATCCTAGTGTTTTAGCTGTCATTGTTATTCTGCTAAATGAATATGATGTGAACATAAAATTGTCTTCTAAATAGCCATGCTTTTATTCGCTATATAGCTCTACCATCAGCTTGCTCAAAAGATGCTTCTTATAGTTAGCAGTGGTAATTTGAGACTCAAAACTAGCCAACATTCTGAGAATAAGTACCTTTTCAGTGTTCACCATGAATGAGACATCTAGAGCCCACAGTATCGTCTTAGGAAACATCAAGGGAGAAGGTATGAAAATAATATAAGAGCCTAAAGATGGAGGAGAATGATGTGAAATATTGTTTTCTATATATGACATGGCCAAAGCACTCTTGTGCTCACAGTAGCTATAATAACTGCTCAAGACCTCCAAAATCTAGGCCCTTCAATATTCTATCAAGGAAAGAGAAGGTGCTCCCAAACCCCAACTATTTCTAGAGGATTTATAAGCAGTTAACAGTACCTAGAAACAGGGTCATGAAATCCCTACCTTGCAGCATCTATAGGATGTTAGTGATTGCCAGTAGGGATTGATTTTTTTTTTTTCAGTAGAGTAGCTACTGGTAAGGTTCCCATGTTCCTGAAAATGACTCTTTGCCTTTGCTCCAGTAAGCAACCGCAGTGGAACTCATTGGGTTACAAACACACACATGAAGAAAAGGAATATGAAAGTAGAAAGGAGACCTAGTTGGGAGAAGGAACAGTATCAGCAAGAATGGGGAAAAGCCAAGAAAGATAAGTAGACTAATATTGTTATCAAAATATTTGTATGTAGGCAAGGAACTATTAATAATTAATATTAATAATTAATTATTAGTAACTATTAATAATTAAATCCTTTATTAGATATAATCAATATATTTCAATAAGAATTGAAACAGAAACAAAGTATAAAAGATCTCTTCCCTTACATCTGAAAATATTTTAGAGACAAATAAGGGATTAGAATTTATAATATTTAGAAAGATGCATTTTAACAAAATGGTGGATAGTCATGCTAATATATAAGATGTATAAGAAGCCATTACAAAAAAAAAAAAGACTAAGAAAATCTACAAATGAGAAGCATGGTAGGAAGAACACAGTATTTGTTATTTTTCTGTTGCTGTGATAAAACATCATGAACAAAGACAACTTAAGGAAGAGAGAGCTTCTCCATGGCAGCAGAGCTATAGGAATGAGGAACTGGGATTTCATTTCCTCTGATACAAGCAGAAAGCAGAGGGAGTACACTGGAAGTGGCTTTAACCCCTCAAAGCCCCCTTGAATGGAACACTTCCTCCAACAAGGCTGTGTCTTATAAATATTCTGGAAAAGTTGGTGAAAGAGTTCCCACCAACTGGGAACCAAGCCTTCAAATGTGGGAGCCAATGGGGGGGGCATTTCTTACTCAAATTATGACTGATGTATCTAGATTAGGTCTGAAAAGACTAGATACTCCAAATGGTACTAAAATTCCATGCCATGGAGCAAGCTACTGCTGTGTCCTGTTGTTTGGCAGTATGTGAGAACAAAAAGAATTCACGATCATGTTTGAAATGGTGATGAGCCTTGGGTCCACAGACTGATTGAATGCAGAGAGATAAAATGAAGCCTACAGAGGAAACTAAAGAGCTTGAGATGTAGACAAGTTAGAGAACATACATGAAATTGTAGGGTTGAGCCCCAGCACCAAATATAGTATACAACAGGTGCTAGAACTCAAGAGGTAGCAAATAGAGGAGTCATGCTTTAAAGTCATCCCCGGCAATATAGAGTTCCAGGCTACTATAAGCTATATATCACTTTGTCTTGTTTTTAAAAAATAGTCCCTGAGACCTGGGATTTGGAAACTCCAGGGACTCTATGATGGTAACTCTATCTGAGAGTCTTCACAGAAGGTTTTATGGAGCCTGCAGTGCCACCTCCTGTAGCCAGATAGGACTCCCAGTGGAAGGAAAAAGACAGTAACAAATGCACAAAACCTTTGGCCCCACAAGTATCCTGCCTACAAGATGTGCAGGAACAAAAATGGAGCAGAGACTAAAAGAATGGGCACTCAATGACTGGACAACAAAAAGATATACATCATGGTCAAGAAACAATCCCTGACACAATAATTGATATTCTGATATGCTTGCAGACAAAAGTCTAGAATAACTATACTCTGAGAAACTCTACCGAGTAGCTGACTAAAACAAATAGATAAATCCAAATACAAACATTAGGTAGAGTCTGGAAGTCTTGTGAAATAGTTGGGGAAAGGATTGAGGGGCCCAGAGAAGAAAAGAACTCCAGAAGAAGACCAAGAGAATCAACTAACCTGGACTTTGGGCATTCTCAGAGACTAAACCACCAACAAAAAGCTATCATGAGCTAGACATAGGGCCCCTGCACATATGTAGCAGATGTGCAGCTTGGTCTTCATGCAGCTCTCCCAACAACTAGAGCCAGGGCTGTCCCTAAATCTGTTTCCTCTCTGTAGATCCCATTGCCCTTACTGGGCTGCCTTAGGTGGCCTCAGTGGGAGAGGACGTCCCTAGTCCTGCAGATACTTGATGTGTCATGGAGGGGAGATACTCTGGGAGCACGTACCCCTTCTTATAAGAGAGGGGAATAGGGAGAGGAACTGTGGGAGGGGGATATTGAGAGGAGAGGAGTGCTGCATATTGACATATAACATGAATAACTAAACTAATTAATAAAATAAATGTCTCTGAGTTTCCTCCATCACCCATATTTCACAGGATACTCACCATTGCCTTTGAGGAACCATTCAAGATAAGTTCACAGTGACTCTGGATTCTTCCCAAGGTTTGTCTTACCCCAGAAAAAATAACCAGAAACAAGAACATCTCTGGGATTTCTGATGAGATAGATAGCTGTAAATGGGAAAAAATGTAGATGAAGTTCAATACTCATTCCTCAACTTTTAACTGGCATAGTTTACATGAAATATCAGTCAAATATGCAAGGGTTTCTAAAAACATTTATTATTTTTATGTAGGCAAAACATACACGAGTGAAAATATATATAGTCATAAATCCCCTTTTCTCATTTTATTTGATTTATAACAATGAAACAGCAAAATGACTAGTTCATTAACAGTGTAAAAAAACTCAAACCAGACTTACTCAATAGTTCTGAAGATCACAACAATAAGTGGTTATCCAAAACCAAATGTCCAACTCATAAAATATACATACAATTAACACTGTACTGACAGGGAAGGTTGTACTAAAGGATTTAGAAATATGTAGACTTATTTAGGAATATATTAATTATTTACTTAGGAATATGTTGTATATAGTGGAGACAGACAGACAGACAGACAGACAGACAGACAGACAGACAAGTGAATATATAAACATCAGAATACATTTAGGAATGTGTGTGTGTGTGTGTGTGTGTGTGTGTGTGTGTGTGTGTGAATTAATGAAAAAAGAAACCATAAATTTGAAAGTGAGAAAAGAGAAATACATCAGCATCACTAGTGCATGAGAATCCTACACTCACATTTCTGCAAGAGCTCCAAGGCCTGTCAGGGTAAAATAAGTTCAAAGAGTAGTCAAAGAAAATCTCAACCACTGGACACTGACCTTGGCCTTGGAACTGGAGAGAATCTTGGAGAAAAGATGGATGGGATGATGGAAACTCATGAGTCATGGTGTTTCCTTATATATTAATACAGAATATCCTGTATCATACTCTAACCAGGGTGCATGATCCCAGATGGGCACAGATTAGATCTACTTGGGATCTCCCTTGGTCTGAATGAAGCAGACAATCTCAGTCAGCCAGTTTGTTCCTGGATGAAAAGGAAAAGTGACAATCACTCATTTCAAGAGTACTTGTGAAAAAGCCTCAAGTAGAATATATATCCATACAATTTACAGTGATGCCAATTTTCAAGCACACAGACTTGTGGTGTTCACAGTGTCCACATGGTGTAAGTAAAAAGTATATTCACTCAGCATATTCTGAAGACTTAATTTTGCAAAAGTGAGACCCTAAACTTAGTAAACACCTATTTGCCCAGAGAATATCTCCTACAGCCCTGGGTTATCATCATTCTACATTCTGGTGGAATTAACTTGACTAGCCTAGATATTTCACAGTGATGTAAAAATAGCATCTACCCTCTGAGACTACATCCTTTTATTTAATTCATTGCCACTGAGTTGCACCCATGCTGCAATGTATGACTGAGTACTTCTTCTTTTTAAGGTGAATAAGTTCCCTTTTGGATATTTACCACACACACATTTGCATTTGTGCTTAATTGTTCATTTTTTCAGTGGATGTTTCCCTTGATTCCTTATCTGGTTGTTTTTCTCCTGTATTCCCACTGCCTTTGGATTTTCTATGTCATTGTGCTCTCTATCTCAGCAGCCTAATACTTACCCAATGTTCAGTGCTTCACAGCAAACAACCATTTTCCAAACCAAAATGATGTTGATTTTTGGTTTCTTGAGTTTTCAGACTCTTTCTACATCCTGGGCAAGGACCATGGTAATTCTACCTGGCACTGTCCTCTCCTCTCCTCCACATATCCTCAAATAAATGCATTTATCTCTTGGTGCTATGTGTTCTGTTTATTCTCATCACTCTCTCTATTCTTCTTTCTATTCTCCAGAGAGAGAGAGAGAGAGAGAGAGAGAGAGAGAGAGAGAGAGAGAGA